GTTCTATTTCCATTGGACATGCTCGGTCTAGAACCTCTGGTGACAGAAAGGAGGCGCTGCTCAGAGGCTAGCAGAGCCTGATTCACGGACAGAGGGGTCAGCTGGACCAGCTCCCGCCGGCCACACCTGGCACAGGTGGTGCGCTGCAGCCACGGGATAGCAGCCGTGACCTGCTCGGCCCAAGCCCTGCCCCCACATGACTGAGGGGCTCTCAGAAGCCTGAGCCAACACGGATACGTGCGAGAGGATGCTCGTTGCGGAGGGAAAGCAGTGACCTGGGTGGAGAGGCCAGCGGGCAGGGCCTCCACCAGGACACAGCGAGGACGCTGCACGACACGCTACTCCTGCAGGGGCCCTGCCGGTGAGGCACTCAGACCCCTCTGAGCAAATGGGGCAGGCGAGCCGGAGGAGCCCGCCCCCACAGAGGGGATCGTGAGCCTGGACTCATGACATCCCAGCGTTAACGTCCCGACCCGGTGGCTGTGCCGGGGTGCGCCCGCCCCACCTGGAAGGAAACACACACCCAGAGCTCGGGTCGAGCAGCCCCTCTCGGGAACTCCCTGGAGCACTACCTTGCCGCCTGGGAGGAACCGGTTGATCCTGTCCCGTGCCTCGTCGGCCGCGTGCTCCACCAGCGCCAACACGTGCTCCTCTGCGGTGCTGTCGGTGAGGCTGCAGGCGTTGCCCTCAGGCTCAAACACGCAGCTGCAAGGCAGGCGGGGACACCTGTCACTCGAGACGGCGTCCCTGCCACACCCCCACCCCGCCAGTCGGTACCGAGCCCGCGTCTACCCACACTCCCCAGACACCGAGGTTCGGGGTGCAGGCAGAGCACGCGTCAACACCTTCCACTGCCCGATGCGTTCCTCTGTTCTAAGCGTAACAAGAGGCTTTGATCAAAAGGAAGAGCGAGCGCAAGCCAAGGAGACGCTCTGTACTTCTCACGACTCCGCTAAACACTCTGCCACTTCCACAGCAATAAAAGCAGCAAAAGTTGACAGAAACCACATGGGTGAGTCATTGAAGGCACCACTAGGAAAGGCGACCCAATCTCCCTCGCAGGCTGAGCCCAGCGCTGGCGGCAGGGCAGGGCGGGCCAGGCGAGGCCGGTGTTTGCTGCGGGGTGGGCGCTCCTGGGCTTGGGGGAGAGCTGCTGCCCCAGGAGCAGCCCAGGGAACACGCCAGGCGGCCTGGGTTCCCCCTGAAGTTCTCTAAACTCCAAACAGCTGAGAGGCTTGGGGCACAGTGCCCATGGAGGCAGCCTCCCCTCCTGTGGAAGGTTCTAGAAGCAGGTGGGTGGGTCCCTGCCAGGTGGGTCCCTCCCTGCCCTGCACATGAGGCCGGATCCAAATGCCAAAGGGACAGCTGCAGGCCTGGGACGAGCCCTGCCCGTGAGAACACCCTGTTCTCGTCCCTGACGCACAGAGGCAGGAGCAGGCGGCACTCAGGCTTGGCCGACGGCAACGACCACATGTGGCTTTGGGGGATGCGAGTGTCTCAGCCCAGAGTGCTCCGCTAATCACGGCGCAGACGGACCTGGGATTCAGAGGAGACGCTGTCACTGCAACTTTGCCACTCGACCCCACGGATGAAGGGTGGGCTCCCGGCACCAGGATCACCCACTCCGGGCCACAGGCCAGCAATGCTGTCTCAAGTCAGGGGACTGAGGGGACAAGGCACAGCCACGAGCCAATGATGCGCAAATGTTCACATGGCAGAGGGTGGGAACCACATCAGGACACTGTCAGCTGCTTCTATGTCATGCACACACGTCTCATGGGCACCCTTCTGTCCCCCTCTGGTCGGAGGGCGGTACCTAGAGCAGACACACTGAGCCCCAGCACTGCGCCTCTGCTGCCCCCTGTCCCCCAGGAGGGCCCCACACACCATCAACAGGCAGGGAGGCTACAAACTAGACACACTTTTGGGAAACAAACAACGGAAGGCCCTGACTTATTAGAATTTCCTCAAAGTTATTAAAACCGAACACAGGGCCTGGCACGGTGGCTCACACCTGTAGTCCCAGCTACCCGGGAGGCTGAGGCAGGAGGATCACTTGAGCCCAGGAGTTTGAGATCAGCCTGAGCAATACAGTAAGAAAAACTAACCGGGCATGGTGGTGCACACCTGTAATTGCGGCTACCTGGGAGGCCGAGGCAGGAGGACTGTTTGAGCCCAGGAGTTGGTGGCTGCAGTGAGCTATGACGACACCACTGCACTGCAGCCTCATGACAGAGTGAGACCATATCTCCAAAACACAAACAAAACCAGTGCAGATGGTCCCTGACTCACAATGATTTGACTTATGATTTTTCAACTTGATGATGGTTCCCAAAGCGATGCACATTCAGTAGAAACCGTACTTTGTGCAGCACTCTCTGAGGGTGTGCGGCAGCAACGACCATAGCTCCGTAGCCACATGATCTTAAGGGCAAACAACCAACACCCAATTCTATAATGTTACGTATTCGATGATCTACACAAGATGCTCGATGCCATTATTAAGACAGGCTTTGTGTTAGATGATTCTGCCCAACTACAGGCTGCTGAAGGGTTCTGAGCACGTTTAAGGTAAGGCAGGCTAAGCTACGACGTTCTGGAAGCTAGGGGCACTTAAGGAGATTTTTGACAGGATATTTTCAACTTACGATGGGTTTATCGGGACACAGCCCAACCTTAAGCTGGGAGCACATGTACTAACGACAAGGACTTCAATGCTCCGCCACCAAAGGGTACCACAAGGACCCCTGTGGGTCTGGGATATGAGAGGGTTCCCTCACGGACCACCCCAACCAGCTCTACCTGTGGAGGGAGCAGAGCCCTGGAGAGCTCCCCGGCAGCCCCCACACCTGCCGGCCCACAGGCCCCTCCCTAGGGCCGCCCCTGCACAGCTGCGGGAGCAGGGAGCTCGGGGAGCATGTGCCGCCCGGAGGCAGGAGAGCAGGCCCAGTGCCGGCTGCCTGAAGTGGGCCCGGCGACGTGCCAGGTACTTCAGGACAGGTACAGCCCAGGTTGTCAGCAGGCACTGTGCATGGGAGGGGACCTCCTGGGAGGGAAGGGCCAATGGACGTCAACAAATAGCCCACAGCAGACACAGGCAGAGCCGGCCGGACAGCCACACTTGGGTCGGACAGCACATGCGACAGGCGGGCAGGAGGGGCTGTCCTCAGCGGAACAAGCTGTTTTGATAGTTGCAGGACACAACAGCACGTGGACAGCATGGGTGAGGATGGTGACATCACCCAGACAGCACGGCCGCCTCACTCTCGGGGGGCAGGGACAGTCGCTTCCCTGGGAAATGCGGGGTCTAGGAAAAGCGTTCCACCCAAAGGTGCCTGGTCCGCACCGGGTGCCTCATGAGACGGGTCCAGGACACAGACCTCGAAATTCTAACAGACAGTGCCCCCAGCTGGACGAGCTACCCCGGGAAGTCCACACGACAGGTCCCCCATTCTCACCCTTCAGCACCCGCCTTCCCGATCAAGGCTGCTCGACTCCGACAGCAGACACAGCTCCCACGGAGCCTTTACCTGATAACTTCTCTACTCGGCTTTTTGGATTTCTTGGCAGTTTCTACTTGTACCGGCACAACCTCAGGAACAGGTTCCTCAACAGCTGTGTCTTCATTGCCCAAAAGAGCAGCCTGCTGAGAAAAATCCATGTCCTGCATAAACGACATGCTGCGCTTCAAAGCTAACAGCCGCTCCTAGAATCAGAAAGGACAGAGCAGCAGGGACTTTACCTCTCCCTCACAGCCAAGGCGCCATGACGATGGGGTGGGATGGGGATGGCCACAGCCTCACCTGGCCTGACCACTAACTCTCCACGGTGGCGCGGCACAAGGTGGTCGTGGGGGCTCAGCTCAGAGCCGGCAGAGGGGAGCAGGCCAGAGCACGGCAGCTGCTGCACCCCCCGCCCCCGCACATGGCGCGCACACCTCCCCCACACACGGCCCGTGCAGCCTGGCTCACGGCACAGGTCTGGGAAGCCGCTCGGGATGGCCGAGGAGAACTAGGACAGCCCATCTGGACCCGGTGAGGCAGCCGTGCAAGCAAGCCTGCAAGGCCGGCCGCAACCCAGCAAGACGGACACCCAGGCTCGGGATCGACAGGTCTGGAACTTTCTGCCAACCCTAAATGAAATGTTACAGCTAGGTCATGAGCAGATGCAGGAAGGGGGCAGGCCTGGAGAGGGCGGCCAGGGACATCTACCCTAGAGCAGAGGGTCAACACCATGACGGTGAAGGGTGGATGGAGCATGGAGTCACTGTGAGTTTCCGTTTAGGCGCACAGGATGTAGGATAGAGCTCTGATTTCCTCGGCTCAGAGCAGTCAGTGGGTTTCTTACTTTGCTCATCATCTTGAAGCCGGCGTGGAGGATCTTCTTAGCCAGCTTGTAATACACGGTGTCTGGTCTGTTGTAAGTCATCGCGTTGTCACACATCAGTTTGAAATCTGCCTGGAAAGACAAGAGAAACAGACTCATCGAGTCTGCGACCCCACACAGACAACAGCAGCGCTCCGCATTCCCGTCAAAAGAAGTCAAAAGCAAAAGGTGGAAACCGAGTGGAAAACAATCAAACTTGCCTCTCTCATCTAAAAAATAATTTTTAAGAACTTAGAAATTCTCACAGTTGCTCATTGGTCAACACTTGCGTGAAAAACTTTCCACTGAAGAGCTGGCCAACATCTGTAACTTCTTTTTGAGCACGATAAACACATCTTGTAAGAGGAAAAAAAAACGGGGGTTTCCTGAGCTTCCTTCTCTTCTCCAGCCCTCCTCCCGCTCTTCAGGAGGAACCTGGGCACAAACAGGAACAAGCAACGACAATCCAATCCTTTTCAGTAAAAGCCAAGGGGTGGGCACGGCAATATCTTCCGTCTCTCAGCTTTTCCACCGTGCAGAATTTAAACCTTATCGACATATGGTACCCTGGAACTATAAGGAGCAGACTTTCCCCCAAATAAGGAGGGCATTACTGAATAACCTGCAGTGAGCGTGACTCCTTCAGTACTTTGTTACCACACCCCACCTCCTAGCGCACCCTCTGGCAGGTGAGCTGTGAGGTCAGGCTGGACTCCGACCATGATGCCAGCTGCCCGAGCAGACAGCGCAGCACCTGGGCCCTCACAAGCCACACTGCCCTCACGGCCAGCTGTGCAGTGTCCCCAGGGCCTGGCCTGAGGCCGAGGCCCCCACACCCGTCACATGTCCCAAACACTCCTGCAGAGGACCTACAACAATCTGCCCCCAGCCTCCAATAGATTCTCTCGCAAAGGTCCCTGTTCTCCCCGTCTCCTTCAGGCTGTCGCAGCACGCTTCAGCGAGTCAGCAACCCCTGCAGTACGCGCCTCCAACACATAAAAACAGAAAATAGAAAAGTCGAGCTTTCCCAGAGTTAATGGAACCTAAAAAAGAAACCTAATGCCTTTTTCCAAATGACATTAATGCCAAAGTTATCAAGCATCCATTTGGGCTTTTTTCCCCGATTTCTAACTCTCATAGCTAGTACCAAGAAACAGAGTTAAGAGCAAAGTACTCAAGAGATAAAAGAATTTATTATACCCTAAAAAAATTAACACCCAATTATTACAAGAAAAAACTAAAAAGTAGGAAAATTATGTTTCTAAAAATATCCATTCTCAAGCCAGGCCAAACTGGAGACAGCATTGTTTGAACCCACATGTCCTGTCTGTGCCAGCACAGTAGCTTAAAAAAGAAAGAAAAGAAACATGTTTCTAACGGCATACAACCTACACTCTAGCTTCTAGACCAAGACACAGAGAAAACGTTTACGACCAAGCCATTTCCTCAGCGCTGTGTTTGTGAAACATCACCCGACACAGAAGCACCCGTCTGCTCTAAACCGGAAACGACCTAAGGTGCAAGACCTGTTCACTGGACACAAACACGGAGCTCTATCACGATTACTTGAAGAAACGAAATGAGTTTACCTTAAATTCTGTGACTGACTTGTATTCGTTAGCTACAATTTTGTCTTTCATTGTGCCAAAATCCATTGGGTGTTTTATTATCATCGAATACCCAGGAGCAATTGCATCCGTGACAGGAAAAGCAAAAAATCCATGAGGATCTTTCCTGAAAGCAAAGATGTTTTTACTTAAAACAAAAACACTCTGAAATCTAGATTTCTAGATGATACGAAATTCCTTACAATCCAAAAATTTGGAACAATTGAACAAACTTTATTCCTTAAAAATACAAAACATTAAACGTATTGCCTATTGAGATTGTGACAGATACTTTGGATACAACAAAAAGTCCCCCACAAGTGCTCTGGGTCCCGTCACTGTCCCGGCTCCCGCCCTGACAGGTGCCATGACTTGGGAATGGACAGAGCCCAGGACTCTGCCGGCCCTCCCTGCTCTGCTCCCAGCCTCACGGCCCGGCGCTCACTCTGCACTGCGCACGCCCATCTGCAGCTGGACAGGGTGTCACCTGGTGAAGGTCAAGAGTCTGGTTCAGCTGACGGGGCTGGGGGGGTAACACCTCAGAAAAGAAAGATGACATCGCACATGCCCCAAACACAAGCTCTTTAGAAACGCCCACGGTCTTACCTCTGGAGCTGGCGGAGGAAGTGCTCTAGTAGTTGCTGAATAGGCGTGCTCTCGTTTTCGGCTGACAGTTTAAAAAGCAAAACAATAAAAATGAGTAGAAACGTTTTGTTACCTCTCTATTAGAAAGCTGCAATTTCACACTATTTATTAGATGTTTCATAGCATTTTAAGTTTAATCAAGGCTGAGGATACGAAGATAAATCAGACTTGGCCTTGGCTCCCGTGAAGCTCAGCTGGGTGGGAAGGGCTCCCGCGGCATCAGCCTCAAAAAAATGCCCGGACCCCTTCAATCAACAATACAGGACTATCAGTATTCGGTCTGTTTTCAGCTCAGACCACTATTCTAGGCAAGGCAGGAAGGAGGAAACAAAGGCTTTGGACATAAAGGCTGATCCTGAATTCACTGATTATCATTTCACTTGCAGTCCCTCAACTTCCGGTTATGTTTATGGTCCTCATCTGGAAAACGGGGACAACACACAGGCAGGTTCCTGTGAGGACTGTGGCTGTTAACTACATCCCCGGGCCACAGTGGGCCTCCAAGGGCAGGTTTCTGACAGTGACACTCTTGAGAGTGACCCAGGTACGTGCAAGCATCATCATCACATCATTAGCTCTTCAGGTGCACTGGGGGAGTCGGCGGGTGCAGAGCCTCGACAGGTGCTCAGGCTACTGACTGCGCTAACTTTGCAGACAGGGCCACCTATTTGCTTATTTTGTGCCAGTCTTCTCCACTCACCTGCGTGCCAGCAGTAGCCCCCCTCCCCACAACGACTGCACTGGTGCCCCTGCTCCCCAGCACACTGGAGTTGGTCAAACCCAAATTCAAGAAAAGAAACGCCTGAAGAGCAAAAGGACCGTAGCCTCAGAGGGTCACAAGCATTTTGGAACTCTCCTTTGGTGGAGCCAGCAGTTTCTGATGGCCTCTTCCCGTCCCTGATGTCCCATGTCCCAACTGCCTCAGTTTCCCTATAGTCTGGGAACCACCAGATGCTTCCTGCTCACTGGGAAGAGACTCTCCCGTTGTAAGTACAAATGCCCCAGTCACTGTGAGTCATGTGCATGAAGTCAGCGTCAGGTGGGAATTCTGGCCCAACTCCATTCCTGACAATGGTGCCCATGGCAGAACTGTCACTGAAGGCCCCCAACTTTTTTCCTCCCCAGCCTACGGCCACTTTAAGCAATTTCAGACCCACCACTGGAGCCTTTAGGTTCCTTCTTCCTAATGGGAACTGTGTGCATTTTGTTGGCATGTGCATCTCTTACAAGTCTCACTATCATGGGGCTGTTTTTCTGATGCTACTCTATTTTGGGTAGGAAAAGCAGATAAAGCCAAAATTTTAGACCCAGGGTTGGCAAGGCTCTTCTGTAAAGGCCAGATAAAAAATAGTCTAGGGCTGGGCACAATAGGCTGGTGCCTATAATCCTAGTGCTTTCTGGGGATGAGGCGGGATAAGTGCTTGAGCCCAGAGTTTGAGACCAGCCTGGGCCACATAGTGAGACCCCATGTCTACAAAAAATTTAAAAACTGGCTAAACATGGTGGCGCACACCTGCAGTCCTAGCTACTCGGAAGGCTGAGGCAGGAGGATCACTTGAGTCCTAGGAGTTTGAGGCTGCAGTGAGCTATGATCAAACCACTGCACTCCCGCCTGGGTGACAGAGCGAGACCCTGTCTCTAAACAAAACACAAAAAACAGTCTGGGCTTTATAGGCCACGTATGGAAGGGCTCATGGCATAGGTATTCCGTTTCCTCTTGAAAGTCTCTAAAAACGAACGAGCCATCCTGACTTACATCACGGGTTAAAAAAACAAAACAAAATTTAAGATCATGAGTGGTAACTAGCCAACCCTGCTCAAGCTCTAGACGTTCAAAGATGCTGGCAGGAACCCCGTGTCTAGGGGACACCTGGCATGAGGCCCCAGAAGAGGAAACGCCAGTCCTCTTCCTTCCCATGCTTCTCCCCACAGCAAGAGGACGTGGTGGCGACCCTTAATTTACAACGGGGAGCTCTGAGCACTAGGAGAGTCTCTGGCTGGGCAGAGCCTTGCCTGGCTGTGTCCGGCACGCTCGCACTGGCCGATCCGGGGGCGGCTCCACCTCCACCTTCCTGCCAGGGTCAAAGTCGTCGGCCTCGCCCTCCGTGTCGCAGTGCTCCTTCTCTCGTTTCCGCTTCTTCTCCTCCTGGGGGGTAGAGCCAAAGGAGTGAGAGCAGCAGGCATGGTGGGAGCCTCACCCCAGGCTGGGGACGGCAGGGACTAAACACACTTCCCAACCACCTCCTCAGTTTCCAGGGAAACCAAGAAGTCAACAGAGAAGAATCCTCCCTTAGAGACCCTCCTCATCCACGATTCCCTCCCTCACAAAGATGCCCCCCAGGGGGGTCAGCAAAGTGCTTCCCGCTCCACAAGCCACACAGACACGCTGAGCCCAGCTCTGCGTCAGCCGAGCGGCCACTACCACCGGCTCTGCCTCACCTTTCGCTTCCTCCTTTCCTCATCACCGAGATGCTTCTCCTTCTCTGACTTCTTCTTTTTCTTCTTCTTCTTCTCTTTGTGCCTCTCTCGCTCATGATCTGACCTGTCGTCATAGTAGCTGGAGTCGTGGCCGGACCCCGAGAGCTCGGTCACCTCACTTCCTCCAACCTTCAGGACCAGCTTCAGGGGCTTCTCCAGGGGCTTGTCTGCATAGTCTGCAGAGACAGGGACTGTGAGCTTCATTCACCGTGGGCTTAGGGGCAAGCACCTGCCACCGGGTGGGAAGGGCTGGTCTGGTGCGCGGGCATTACCAGGAGAACACCAAGGCCCGAGAGGGTGGTGTGCTGGCCGCGGGAAGGTGTACAGCAGCGGACTGCCAAGACCCTCCGGGAAAGACGGAGGGGCAAGCCCACAATGGCAGGGGGTCCTCCCTCCCTTCCTCCCCACACCTTCCAAAGTGAGCTTCAACTCCCTTTCAAACTACTTTAGCCTGGCTGGGGGAGGCTGTGTGGGACACTGTACATATCGCCCGGTGAGGGGAAGGAACGAGACTGGACTCGGGACTTGGGGCCTGATCTCCCATCCCCAGGACTCCCAGGCCTGCTGTCTACCCCTGACACAGATGGACTATCTGCCACAGATACAAGGCAGAAAAAAACAAAAGGCAGCACCGCCTTCTCCCCGACCTGGGCGGGAAAGCCAGCAGAGATGCTTTGCTCTTTCCTCCAGAGCGGGGAAAGTGGCCTGTAGTAGTGAGCCTGGAACCCAGTCCTGGACCCGGGCCAGTACCCTGGCTGCCAACCCCACCGGGACCCCGTCCCCACCTCCAGGACCCTGTCCCTGAGATTCCGCCCCCACCTCCAGGACCCCATCCCTGGGACCCCGCCCCCACCTCCAGGACCCTGTCCCTGGG